AATCTTCAAAGGATTGACTGGCAGAGGTGCAAACGCAGGATGAGTCACATAAAAAACATAAGCTTTCCTAAAGTTGGGCTATTGTTCTTTCAACAGCAATCATCATCAGATATTTTAGTTTGGAAGAACTTACATAATGTAATTCTGGGGCCAACTCGAGTCACTCAGCAATCAAAACCTCTGCTCGACCCTATTGTTATGAGTGACGAATGAAATCGAGTGAGGTCGACTTCAGCCCACATATCAGTGATACAGATGTGCAAAGTCAGAGAAGTCAGATCTTTACGACTGCACAGACACTTTGGAATTTTTACTGCTTCTATACAACTCAGATCTCCAAGCCATTGCTCTGTTCCGTGTTTCAAGACCTCATTTACTTCATCATCCCACTCAAGTCCAGCTATCCATAGATCTTGCAGGATTACTTTAGTTGCAACAATGAATGGTCCTATTAAACCCAGAGCCCGGCAACATGTCTCAGGAAAATCTCTTTTTGAGATCTTCTCATCAGCAATAAATGTGAAACAATCACTGGTGGCTATCCGCTTTAGGCCAAGAATTTCTACTGAGGGCACATGTCCCCTGTTGAGATCAACCTCAGTCACCCAATCTTTCCCAGGCATGCCATCTAAAGACAATTTGACATTCACTTTCCTGAATGCATTGGTGCCTCGACCATAGTTCCTTTAACTGTTCTATACCCTTTTCCGCATCTTCAACATAAGTCATCCCATCATCCATATTAATCGATTTAGTGACAGTTTCTGCAACCGGTGGATATTCTCTCATTTTCCTGTGTCACAGAGAATGGAAAGAATGGAAACTCCAAATACAACCCTACTGAACTCATACACATCAGGGGTTCGAGTCATATACATTGACCTCCCAAACAATCTGTGATAAGGTCGATCATCTGGTGACATACTGATCGGACTTCCGACTGTTGTTGTGACATACAAATTTGTATGACGTCAAATGCTCTGAGGCTCAACAGTGAGAAAAAACCCGAAGCAATTCTGCTAGGCCACTCTGGTAAACGTAGTAAGTGTGAACTGAACAAGATCTCTGTCTCTGATGCAATTATTCCATTCTCTACGACCGTTAATGACCTAGGCGTCATTATTAATCAAGAACTGGGTATGGCTGACCATGTGAATCACGTTGCCAAGATCTGCTATTTTCACCTACGTCACATTGGCAGAGTCCGACCACTTCTTACCAAGGAAGCTGCTGTCACTCTTTGTCTGGTGTCTTCAAGGAAAGACTATTGCAATAGTCTTTTTGGCGAGTTCGCCTTCATGCCTCGCAGATCAATTACAGCGCATGCTAAATACTGACTGCTCGCATCACATCTATCAGTCAAAGATACGACCACATATCTCCAGTGTTGCAAGAAGTCCATTGGCCTGGCTCATCAATGTTTGACCGACACAGCCCATGTCTACCTCTCAGAACTGATGCAACCTTATTGTCCACTTAGATCACTTCGATCAGAATACCAGAACCTCTTGACAGTACCCAAAGTCAAGCTCACACTATTTGGACAACGCTCTTTCTCTCACACTGTTGCTAAAGAGTGGAATGATTTGCCTCACCACATCCGTTCCTGCTCTGTTTATCCCAGATTCAGAAGTCTTCTAAAAACTCGTCTCTTCCGAGAAGCTTTCCAATGACTCTATTGACATTTTGTGCTCCTTCAGTATATGTGCGCCTTCAGGATATTTAGCCTAGAAAGGCGCTATACAAATGCTCTATTATTATTATTATTATTATTATTATTATGTTTTACAGATTAAAGATAGTATGCAGCAGAGAGGGTTCGGGTGATCCTGGCACAGTCAGGCTGGTAAGGCTCATCATCAGCTCAGGGCCCTTGCCCCCTCTACACGCAGCCCAGACAGCGAATGGGACTTCTCCCAGGAAACGCTGCCTAGTCGAACCCACCAAGAACTTTCCGGAGAATATGAAGGCTCCCCAACACTGCAGCCTTCTGCATTACCCAGAGTGTCAGAAGGGCTGTACTCCCGGTGGAGAACCCAGGCACTCTCCTGATCTGCGCCAAGAGATCAGGAGGTACCAAACCAAGGGCACCGAGAACAATGGGGAGCCTGACGACAGTGTACTTGGGATGCAAGCGAGACATTTCAAAGGCGAGGTCCGCATATTTATCATGCTTTTCCTTAATCTTGCCAATCACATTGGTGTCAAAAGGGACAGAAAATTCAATGATATAAATAAATTCATTGGCTTTATCAAAAGGACAAGATCAGGTTTGTTAGCTGGAATTCTTCTGAGGCTGTATATTGGCCTATTCCACAGAAGTTTGAAAGCATCATTTTCCATGACGCCCTGGACATGTTCAGGGTCGTACCATGGATGGACCTCGGAGTCAAAGCCACAGGCATGTCGGAGACGGTAGTAAAAGCAACTCTATTATTATTATTATTATTATTATTATTATGTTTTACAGATTAAAGATAGTATGCAGCAGAGAGGGTTCGGGTGATCCTGGCACAGTCAGGCTGGTAAGGCTCATCATCAGCTCAGGGCCCTTGCCCTCTCTACACGCAGCCCAGACAGCGAATGGGACTTCTCCCAGGAAACACTGCCTAGTCGAACCCACCAAGAACTCCCCGGAGAATATAAAGGCTCCCCAACACTGCAGCCTTCTGCATTACCCAGAGTGTCAGAAGGACTGTACTCCCGGTGGAGAACCCAGGCACTCTCCTGATCTGCGCCAAGAGATCAGGTGGTACCAAACCAAGGGCACCGAGAACAATGGGGAGCCTGGCGACAGTGTACTTTGGATGGAAGCGAGACATTTCAAAGGCGAGGTCCGCATATTTATCATGCTTTTACTGAATCTTGCCAATCACATTGGTGTCAAAAGGGACAGAAAATTCAATGATATAAATAAATTCATTTATCAAAAAGGACAAGATCAGGTTTGTTGGCTGGAATTCTTCTGAGGCTGTATATGGGCCTATTCCAGAGAAGTTTTAAAGCATCATTTTCCATGACGCCCTGGACATGTTCAGGGTCGTACCATGGATGGACCTCGGAGTCAAAGCCACAGGCATATCGGAGACGGTAGTAAAAGCAACGAGCCATGCCATCATGTCGTTTAAGATATGATGTTTGTGCCAAGCAAGGGCATCCACTGACAAGGTGTTGGACAGTCTCCGTGAATTCATTGCAAAGTCGACATTTCATATTGATATTTTCTTTAAGAATCACATTTAGGTGATTGCGAGTGGGAAGTGACTGGTCCTGAGCAGCAAAAAGGAAGCGTGAGTTTAGTTTTTACGCCGCACTCAGCAATATTCCAGCTATATGGTGACGGACTTCATATAATCGAGTTGGGACCAGACAATCCAATGATCAACATCATGAGCATCAATATACGCAATTTTGATACGATGACATGTGTCAACCAAGTCAGCGAGCCTGACCTCCCGATCCCGTTAGTCGCCTCTTACGACAAGCGTGGGTTACTGAAGATCAATTCTAACCCGGATCTTCGTGGGTAGTGCAGTACATGGTTCAAAACAGCATCTCTGTTGTCTGAAGCATGAGCTAACAGTTACTTTGTTCAAACCTACCCTGATCAGACAAGCGACCTGTGCAGGTACAACCAAGTGGAGTAAGTCTTGCAACTGGATCACCAAGACGTCCAGTTACTTCTCTATATGATTGGTGCAATTCCAAATGATCAACACCGATAACCAAATCGACCATGCACAGCTTTTGCTACTTCTGGGAATACTAGTTTTCTTGCAAATGTGCCCATTTGTTTCTGTGCTTTTGTCCATAAATCACGTACCTGTCACAGCATCAGTTGTCATTGGAGACATGCGGATCCTTAGATCACCACTGATTTTTTCATGCTTGAATTCTACTGGTTTTGTTTCAAACGATTCTGTCTGATGCGGGTTAGGGGGCTGACTTTGAGTGCTGGCGATTAGGTGCCTGGCTCTGAGCGTGTGGGTTCGCGTCCCGGATGGGACTCAACCCAATAAAAGTACTAGAATCTGTACTTTACTAAGAAACTGTAATCCCAAATATAACATATGTTACTCCTAGTGGACAGAGAGTGTTTTCCCTGATCTGCTGGATTCCGATCTACTTTGCAAATATGCCTCTACAGATTCAAGAACTATTTTGTTTTCCTGGTCTAAACTTCATGATCCAACTTTTTAACATTCTCACAATGTTCCAGTTTAAGGTGAACCTTGAAAGTTCCAACATAACACCTATTGCTTTCACAAAAACATTATTCAGTTGATCTACACCACCCATTTCTGTGATATTTAAGTAGAGAGTTGATCTAAGCTATTTATCTATTCTAGTTTCCGACATAGTTGGATCTAAGCTGGCTATCTCTCAACATCTAAATTTCTATGTAACAGAATTGTAACAGAAAACCACGCTTTGCTACCATTGTTGTGCAGCGAAATTTAAACTAAATTAACTAAATGTGAATTTACTTAATGTTATTATGTGAGGAACTAAACGTGAATAGCTTTAGTAAATTGATGAAGTAATTCGGGTAATAATTTCGGAAACTAAACGTGAATGTCTTTAAAAAAGGTAAATGTGACAAGAAACTAAACATGATCTATCAAAGTCTATAATCTAACCTAACAGTCTAGCCCTATTGTAGCTTGTTGTTTTATGCGTCGTATAACAATGAGTAATTAAATTCTATTTTTCTTTCTATACGTCCTACCCGGACAAGCTATAAACTGTTCTGTTCTACATCATTTTAGGAGGAGATGTCAAGCAAATCACACATCAAACTCAATTGAGTCTGAATGTTTTCATTTTACACGTGGTAGATGTGGTTGACAACACTGCCGTTAATACATTAAATATATGTACCAAATGTACAACTGTACAAAGCGGAATGTATCATGCATTATGTCTATCCTTGTAAAAGTGTTCATATGTATGTCACTTCTGTCTTGTCCATTAGCTTCTTCACAATAACAATGACTCACCTTGAAAGTGTTGAAACGTCACTCCCAAGAACGGCATCCACCTGAGATGAAAGTATCACGAATAAGAGGTAAAGTCCAATAAGCTCCATTTTGTTTATCACAGGTTGGATCCCTGAAATAAGAGAATGACTTAGATATATTATTCTTATCTCACTTGCCAGATGCATAATAAGAATGATGAACAAGGGGTTGAGGTCATAGGACAATACACACATTAATACCAGCGTAAATAATTTTAAGTTATAATGACTATAAACCATTAATCTGAGCACTTTCTCCAAAAGACTCTTAAGAGTTACTAATATTTGTATGTCTTGAAGTACACAAGAGTCATGAGGAGATGAGATGAGATATTCTCTTCTTCCCCACAGACCCATATAGCAGCCTTGATTCACTGCATCAGATCACGGATGTAAGGTCTAAGGATAGCTTTATAATCTGAGTATGGGATGAGAAGTGGTGTCACAGATTTGTTGAGTGCTGCTGAGCTGCTGCATCAGCCACCGTGTTACCATTGAATCTGACATGGCTGGGTAACCAACAAAAGACGATGTCGTATTGGCAAGTTGCACGATCATTATATAATTCAATGATTTGAGTTAGAAGTGGATGTTGAGAAGACAAATCTTTAATAGCCTGAAGGCACAAACGAGTCTGAAAAGATCATATACTGTTTATATTTACGGTGTTGAGTAATATATTTCAGAGCTGTTAATATGGTGTTTGCTTCTTATGTGAAAATAGAGCTGTTATCCGGTAATCTGGAAGATATTGTTCTGGATCCAGATCAACAATGCCGGAAAGTAAGGTCACCATGACTATGCCACCAATCTGATCGTCACACAGTTTTCAAATGATGATTGATGTGATTGTATTAACCTCCACTGGCAACCACATCAGTACCTGGTGTAGCCACCCCTCACACATAAATATCTGCCAGTGTCCTCCTCAAACTGGCAATCAAACATCAAATTCTCAGCATCGGAAGATATTGAACAGGCTAGGGGGATCACTGACTCGAACGCGGTACCCAAGATAGCCCCAAAGATGTTCGATTGGGATCATATTGGGGTTCTTGTGGGTCGTGCATGGTAATGTTTCCATGGCGTTCTGAAATGGGTGATGACGGTCTGAGAACGGTGGGGTCTAGCATTTTCATTCAGACAACTAGCAAGGATCGAGATAGTGGCACAACAGTGGCATTCAGTACATCTTGTTGATAATATTGACCATGAAGTGTCCCAGGTACTGTAATGAGATCCGAATTGCACCAATGAGAAATGCAACCCCACCCCAACACTAAGCCACAACCAAATGGTTCTGCTGCACGGATCACCTCCATAAGCACTGTGGCCCAGTCGTTTTAGTCGTGCAGACAGACACAGAAGTGCGCGCATGCCACATACGCTTTCCTTCACCTTCAGTTCAACTATTCAAACACGACTAACGGCGATGTTTCAAATATCTTCTTTGAAGGAAATATATATCCCAAGGCATCGATAAATACCATTTACAGCGGTTTGGAGCCCGGAGAATGTCCGACCAGACAGACAATCAGGAACCGTCTCCGAGAGGCAAGTATGCGTGCCAGACGTCCAAAAGTTGCCCCCTTTCTGACACGATTGCATCAACGTCAGCGAGTCAGGTGGTGTAACGCGGTGCAGCCTTGGAACCGTGGAAACTGGAGGCACATATGGTTCAGAGATGAATCGCTGTATCCCCTCAATCGATGTGACGGAAGACAACGTGTCTACAGACCACACAATGAACGTTTTCCACCCAACTGCATCAGGCAAATGGACAAATTTGGTGGAGATGATGTCATGATGTGGGGGCCATCTCATACACCTGCAGATGGGAATTGGTGTTCGTCCAAGGCAATCTGACGGCCACTCGATATATCGACCAGATTCTCTGTCCTCACATGCATCGCCTTCTCGACCGCCAAAGGGAGCTGTACCAACAGGACAACGCCAGACCTCACACGGCACGTGCTACAGTGCACTACCTGGACAATAACAACACAAATTTCCTCCCCTGGCCCTCCAGATCCCCGAATCTGAAACCAATTGCTTATCTATGGGATCAAATCGATAAACGTATACGTCAACGTCGTAATCCGCCATTGACCCTTCAACAGTTATTCAACATGCTGCTTGAGGAATGGAGAAGGATTCCACAACGAAAAATCCAACAACGGATTCAATCTGTGTCAAACAGGTGTCGTGCAGTTCTAGCAGTAAGAGGTGGTCATACAAGGCAGTAACATCAACGCCACCTTGTGGACAGCAGTAAAGACTATGGTGACTGTCATTCCTGTGAAATGTGCACGAGATAATAATGAATTGCTCTACATAATTTCAATGCTGTACCGTTTATTTTCGTTGATTTACACATAAATGAATAAGACCAAATTTTTCAATGATATTTTGTTTTTGCGTTTCTTTGTTTTGAAGAGTGTACTTTCTTCAACATCTAATTGTTTTGCCCTGGGCACATACCCAAGAGATCCAGTAAGTTTCACTGAAATCCATCTAGTAGTTTTTGAGTAAAGTTGCAAACACATAAATACACACACACACACACACACACACACACACACACACACACACACAGAGGGTTGAATTATATACCCTCTGCAACAAACGTTCGGTTTTGGCAGAGGCAATTATGATCATAGTAAATATTGTGCATACATTATGCATCTAATTGAGATTCATGATATATAATAGTAGTTGTAAAACACCCTCAGAAGGTACATTTTGATATACTACATGCATATGTTGTGATAGGTTTATAAAAATTGTTTTTCTCAAATTGGTGTTGCAGCTCGATTATGGGTACCGATGTATGTTCAGTTACCCCAGAATGACACTTAGAATCATCAGAAAAAATGGAACCATGTTTTTCTGAATCCATATGCAATAGTGATTACAATTATCAGTGGTTCCAAAAATTAACATGCGCTTCAACGGAAAGCATATTTGCTACATAAGTCCCTGCACTATTAGTGTGTTGGATTTAAACTTAAATTATGGATTAAACTCAATTGCATTTGCTATTTGTGGATAGTGGGTCGCAAGTCCACTGATATCTCAGAAAATTGACCTCAATTGTCAAAAGGGCCATCAAATCATATACTCACTCCAGGCGTACGATCTAAATCGCGGCTGCGCCCAAAGGGTGTGACTTAGCAAGTAACCTTGACACACAGGAAATGTTGGTGGTTGTACGGAAATGACTATAGACTCTTGCTGTAAGGTAGACCTTGGACATGATATATCCAGGAGCCACGTTGCTTCAAATACTAAGTGTGGCGGAAGCGGTGGTGGTTATATTCAGACAATACCACAAAGCAGCGCCATTTACATGGAGATGAAGGAGATTGTGTTATTGAAAGTTTGCTATACACACTAACAACGTCACTTCCATGAATTCACATATCTCTATGTCACATACTGTTGTCTGACCGATGTGTTTAGGAATCGACCTTGTCTTTCCTCAGTAAAAGTAAGCGGGACAGGAATATCAGTTCTCTGGTACTAGTACTTAAATGTCAGTAACATTTGCCCTAACATGTACATATATAAAATTGAAGTTTCAACCAGATCTGTGTATTCTGAGAAGCAATAGGCTAGGAATTTGTTAACATCAAGAGCAGTCACCCTGACCTGACTGATAGGAAACACTACGCATCCGATACAACATGAAACTAAGCATGTCTACATACCAGTCTGCCCATGGTATCATCCGATTCAGTAACGACGCAGTTAATCCAATGACACGTGATCCCGGTCAATACCTCGGCGAGGTAAAAAGTCAGTGGCACTGTGTTGCTCCAAAAAGGTGCTGATGTTTCCATCTATATGTCCTGCATCTTAGGTGCAGTGCTGCGTCTGCAGCACAGGAAATCGATAGTATTCCACACTGTAGTGTGCGGGATGTAGCAGTGTCTCGCGACTGTCGGCATGGTTACTATTGATCACTGCCAACAAATTCTTGTTTACTGTTCTACCTTAACAGTTGTCAAAATGACGCATCTGAATAATTGGCTGAAACAGGAAGAGTTTCCATAATGCAGTTGCATATGAACATGCGTTTGTAAGGGAGTTTTATTTATGTTTTCCCTATCAGGCGCCTTGTCAAGTAGAGGAATAACCCACTTTTGGTTGGGGTTGTTACATCTGAGGTTGAACGAGTTGAAATGATATTTAACGTCCTACTGCACAAAAATATCGAAATGCTTGCGTGCGTGCGTGTGTGCGGGCGGGCGGGCGTACTTGCTCGCAAAAGCCCCGACTATTGGTGGTTGTATAATGCTGAGATACCATACGCCAGGTTTAATACCCAGCTTGTGACACAGTTGTCCGACTCTGACCCGACCTGTCCTTGTTTCATCCCCATATTGCCGAGAGTCAGACAGGGCAACAAAAGACACGATGTTTTTACATCGTTTGGTATGACGCGGGAGGAGATCGAAGTGGTCAAATGTAACTGTACTCAGGGGCAAAACTTTAATCCTAAATATAACATATGTAACATCTGACCACTTTTTAAATAGCGTTGTGTGTTTTCTAATACGGAGAAGAGCTCAAAGCCGCTTGGCAACTACAAGCTATATTAGACTTCAGCCAGCCTGCTGCTGTAGCTTTGGAAATGCTTTGTTAGATGTTGTCTTACAAAAGATAATTTGTCTGTAACTTGAGGGTCGGAAGCGACCAGCTAAAATTTTGAGGTTCTTCTGAGGCATAAAAGGGCGAGAAGGATAATGGACAAAAATTCTCGCAATGTGTACATCATCTAGTGATAAAGATCAAGTGTATTGAGGACTGAGTATATGTAGATTTGCCGCCATGAGTCATCTCTCGAAGGTTCCAGGGCAAAAATATTAGCTCTACACAGATGTAACCCAACATTAGTCATCCGGATGAAGATTTGTTGGGCTCACACGGCTTCGCCACTGGACGAATTTGTCACACCTATTGCTGTAGAGTAAGGAAGGTGACGATTCGGCCATTGCTCTTTACGCAGATTCAAATGTCCAGATGCTTGTATTTTGTCGCTTCCTCGTAGTTCAAAGTAACCTCTTCATGTCTTTGTGAAATAAATTTAGATCATACCTAAGTTGTCGCCGTAGATGTCAACGAAGAGGTGATGTTAACATCATTTCCACCAGTGATGATAATAGACTGGAAAGCATGCTTGAGAAAATTGGAAATGTTACCATCTTCCGTATCACCTTGTCTAATAGAATCTAAGGTGCTAACGCAAAGGCAAAATATCCCTATCCAGCCACGGATCTTTCAGAAATTCCCCTTGAGTATGTCTTGCTTCCATCTGGCAGGTGTGCAATATTCAAGACATTTTCACCATTGAGGATGGAAACCTGGTTCCCCTCGTTGCTGAGCATTAGCAACCAATATCCCTAGAACTGGTGAATTGAGAAGCAGATCTTTTAGTTCAGCATTGTATAACATTGTGCCTTCATTTCTCCTAACAGTTGATATGAAGATTCGTTTTCTCCAAAGTCTTGCAATCTGAGAGGAATACACACAAACGTGCATATCAACAATGCTGTAAAGTACGGTCACCATGACTACACCACCAATCTGATTGTTCTCACGTCTCAAATATTGATTGGTGTGATTGTATGAACCGTCAGTACGTGGTATAGCCATCGCACTGATAACATCTACCAGTCTCCACCTCATTCTTACAACCAAGCGTTGAACTGATAGCACAGGAATCCTCTCCCATTCCTATTTGGAGTGCCTGTGTCAAATCCTAGAGATTTAAAATAGAATAAGTTTGGTGCCAGAATAGGCCCAAAGCTATTCTAAGGGGTTTATATTGGGGTTCCTTGCGGGTCATGCTAGTGTTTTGAGGACGTTGTTCTGCAAATGTGCGATGACAGCTCAATAACGGTGAGGTTCAGGTCCATGTCTGTCGACGACTTGCAACACGATGGTTATCAAAATGTGGCACGACCGCGGTATCCACTACTTCCTACTGATAAGTCTGACCACTGAGTGTTCCAAATACTGTAATTGTATCCAACTAGCAGTCAGAAGCTCAGTAATATTACAGCTACTAACAATGTGGCCAAAATAGCTTTAACAAACTGGCAGTTTTAGTTGATACGTGAGATAGCAAATAGCGTTTTGAAAGGCAATGTGTAGTCATATTATTTCTTTTGTACCATAGAAATATACATATTGAAATCATATATGTCAATGTCACACCTAACATATAACTTAAGCCTAGCTTCCTGCAATCACCAAATAGTGAAAGTGTAATGTGACTTGGATAACACCATCATTTATGGTCGCCTTGTCATGAAATATAATTGTGAAAAATACGCTTTGTTTGACACCATGGCTTTTCTACGTCTCTTGTGACATTTGAGAATGACGACATTTGTACATTACAGTTGCAACATACTAAGCGACACTTAAGACGTGGCAAGTTTGGCAAGTGAACATCACATTTTGTTTAGCATGCATTCAATCCATGAAATGTTATGACGTAAAATCTTGCCCACAGACTGATGACGTCATGAAATTCTTCCAATGCCTTTTTTGATGGTTAAAAAGTTATCACACTACTGCATTTGAATGACACATCCTGCAGAGAAAATTGTCAACGACCAAATCTACACAGAGCGCACAGTGAATGGTATGAGGCATTGCTTCAGCAAGAGAGGAATTCTTCGAAAGTCAGGTACGAACTGGTAGACCGAAGATTCTGTACAAAAGTGACAGAGAAGCCTTCAATCGTCGAGTCAAAGTAAACTGAATTAATCATCGTTTACAGAAACTACAAAGAACTTTCATGAAAGCAAGCCTTCTACTGTATCCATCAGTACTGTTCTGTGTGAATTATAGTGGGAATGATATTATGCAAAGATTGTATGCAAATGCATGGGGATTTGAGAGGTCAAAAGAAAACAAAACTAGTTTCCTTCTGCCGAACTAAACTTATTATTTGTGAGTACATATGGTTTTACACTGCGTTTACCAATATTCCAGCAATATCACGGCGGGGAACACCAAAAATGGACCTCACACACTGAACCCATTTGGGGAATCGGACCCGTGTCCTCGGCGTGACGAGCGGACCAGTAGGCTACCCCAGCATAATTGTTCAAATTTGGGAAAAGTCAGTGTTTGAAAGTATGAAGACGACTGGTAACCGGGATGCCTCAGACCACCTCCCCTAAAACGTCTGAGTGTTATGGGGATGTTAACCTTTCTGGGATTGAGGGTAAATGCCCCAAAATATCAAGAAATGTGGGATTGCTCGACACTTTCCTCACATTCCTTTCATCTTTCAAAATGTCCCTACGGTCAGTAATAATTCATACAGTCAACAACCAAATTCATTAAATCACGGGGCTTGCACAGTATCCAGATATAAAATTCATAAAAACATTTGGCTTCAAAAGACAAGGAGAGTTAAAAACACGCATCCATAACCATGACAACTATGTGATATTATGTTATTATGTACATGTTAGTATGATTATTTAGCTTAGACACATGCCGTGGTTGTTGTGTATTGCGGGCAAACGCATCCCAAAATGTGTTTGTAAACGTCTGTCATAAAAAAAAGGAAAACGATACATGAAAAGTGCATGCAGAAAATGTTTTCCACGTAATGCACGCGCAATATGTGGGGCACATGAGTGGAGACATCGACTATAAAGGGCCAAAGCAAATTCATCATTTCATTACGACATGTACGACGTAAACGAAGATAATAAATGTCAAGATTGAATGCTACTAAATATCCACCACTGGACGTTTGCAAGCAGGGAAGTCCCAGTCTGCCGTTGAAGGACACGTCAACGTCCACCACAGCACCATATCTTGATTATGACATCGATATATCCGCTTCAATTTGACCCAAGATAGTCCCAAAAGTGGAAGATAAAGAGTGACGTTTTGCGCACTCCTGCTCAGGACCGATTCATCTAGGTGTTTCACATATGTCACCGATTTGCTACACCAAACCATCAGAAATCGTCTGAGAGAAGTGGGAATTCGAGCATATCGACCAAAAGTTGGACCTGTCCTGACACGACTACACTGACAACGTCGTGTCCAATGGTCCAACAGGGTACAGGCATGGAATCTGGGGAACGCATGGAATATGTTTGGTTCAGCGATGAATCGCGTTTCCTCCTGCAACGACGGAATGGGAGACAACGGGTCTATTGACGTCAACACGAACGTTTTGCACCGAACTGTGTTCGACAGGTTGGCAAATTTGGAGGAGAAAACTTCATGGTGTTGGAGAGCCATGTCGTACACGCGTAGATCAGAGCTATGGGTGGTTCAAGTCAATCTTACATCAAATCGCTACATCGATCATACCCCTCACCTCCTCCCACTTTTAAACGCCAAAGGGCTGTTTCAACACGACAATGCTCAACCCCACACAGCTCGTGTAAGAGGTGCCTATCTCGCGAATGCAAACGTCAATGGCCTTCCCTGGCCTTCCAAATCGACTGAACATCACCATCGTCCCCAGACACTTGCAGAACTTGCCAACGCGTTGCAGGAGGAATGGCGAATAATTCCCCAAACAAAAATCCGACAACTTGTGCAGTCCCTTCGAAGACGGTGTCGAGCAGTGACGGCTGCAAGGGGTGGTGTCACCAGGTACTGACCTGAACGCCCCCTTGTATCCACGCATGCGCAGTGAGTGAACTGAATTAATGCTGACAGTGACAACAATACACATGTTCATCCATGCTTTTCTAGCTTAGAGTCTTATTGTTTCCATAACAAAATCTCCATTTGAAATGAACAAGATTAAGAAAATAGAAATGATTTCATCAAATTGCAGAGGTTTAGCTGACAAAAATAAGAGAAAAGAATTTATTAACCTATCAAGACGAAAATACTTAATTATTTATCTTCAAGACATTCATATTTCCCCTTAAAATGTGAATACTATGAAAAATGAATGGGGTCTGCAA